TGGATTAACCACGAACTGATCAGGCTGCTGCTGCTGCTGCTGCTGCCGCTGCGAGCCACAGGCCCTGCCCCCCCGCTTTTGTTTTAACCGTCCTGTTAGCACGAGAAGTACGCGGCGGGTGGGGGGCACGGGCATTTGGCTCACCGCGCGCCAAGGCCAAAGGCCCCGGGCGGACCCCCAGATTCGATTCCGTGCGGCGGCCTGACATCAGCAGGCGAGCGATTATCCGAGCCGGTCCTGGGTACCGGGGGGTCGGGGCAGGGTGCTACAAACAAGCAAATCAGCTCGCTTCGTCCGAATCCGCAGTGACCGCCACTGTATGGTCAAACGACCCCCGCCCAATCCACCACGACCAACATGGTGTTGCCTTCATCCAGCTGTGGATTGAGACAGCACCGCAGCCGATCAGATTAAGTGAAACGCAGCTCGCCGGCGTGCGAGGGCATCACGCGAGGGGCGGGCAGGACGAGACAGGAATAACCGCCCTGCACGTCAATTAGCGTTAATGTGACGCAGAGCTCTTAAATAGCATCAACCCAAAACACCGACTCGTCACTGGACCCCACCTGTTCCGCCTGTATGGGATAGCGGTGTGTGTGTGTGTCCCTCGCACGTGTGTGGGGGGGTTGTTTTTTCCAGTGCTCCAGTTTCATCCCACACGTTTAAACAACTCCTTCGTCTCGATTTAAAGCTTTCGTGACTGCAGGGATTCGTATTCTTGGTTCTTTCGGTAAAGTCACGTAGAAGGGAAATAATAAAATAATAAAAAATATCAAACAATTCAATTCTCGATTTAAAGCTTTCGTGACTGCAGGGATTCGTCTTCTTGGTTCTTTCGGTAAAGTCACGTAGAAGGAAACTAATAAAGTAATAAATAAAAATATAAATAAAACATAATAAAATAATTCTCACGACGTTTCGGCCACAACGCAAGCAGCCGTCTTCAGGTGGACTCTGTCTACTTGACAGACATGTTCTCCACCTGAAGACGGCTGCTTGCGTTGTGGCCGAAACGTCGTGAGAATTATTTTATTATGTTTTATTTTTATTATTTTTTATTTTCCTTCTACGTGACTTTACCGAAAGAACCAAGAAGATGGACTCCTTCGTCGCCCGATAGTGCCTCGATATATAGAGGACGGCAGAGCTCCGGAAATTGTGGGTGGCACCGGGTCATCAGAGCGTTGCTGCTGCTGCCGCCTCCCCGCTATGACTCCAAGTCGTCCTCTCTCTCTACGAGAGCGAGGAGCGCACACTTGCGGCGGCGGCGGCGGTGGCACAAGTGGGGAAATGATTGTTACCACAACGAAGGCTCGCAGCAACTGCGCAAGCATCGGCAGCCGGATGTGCATCTGCGGCGAAGTGCGTGTGTGGGGAGCGGTGGTGCAGCGGTTAGCGCGGCGCGCTACGAAACTGGCGACCAGAGTTCGATTCCCGCTCACGGTCAACACCGGTGATGATTTTATCTGAACTGGTTCTGGGCCTCCCCTAGGTCGCCTCAGCCTCAAATGATTACGTGGTGCGGTGTGTAGTAAACATCGCCGCTAGGGAGACAAAGGCGGCCGGGCGTGGTGCTGGCCACCCACCCCCTCGTGTGCCGTGCCGGCCTTCATAGGTGCTCGCAAATAGCACTTGCCCCAGCAGTCTGTTAAGGCTACGCGGGATTAGCAGACGGCGAAAGACGGCAAACGGGGAAAAAATAATTTCGAAGGAGGAAAAAAACGACCTGCAAACGCTTGACGGGCTACCATGATGAGGTCCCCATAGTGTAGATGTTTGCCCCGAGCTCTCATACTCTGATGGTGCATTGTCTTTGAGTTGTGCGCCTTTTGGCGTCTTCTGGTCCAACCCATGTGAGACTAGGCTCGAAGGAAAGCTGTCTCGGGTGTGGACCAATCAACTTCAAGGACAGTGCACATTATCAGAGTTATGTCTTTTGTTTGTATTTATGACTGCAGGTATTGCGGTCTATGCAAACATGACTCCTTGTAAAAAGGTGTCAGTTTTGTTGCCAGATAGAAGGGTAAAGAACCAATTATCATGATGGCGAAACACAAGCTCAGACCACGCGCACATGCACGCACTCGCACGCACACATACATGTGCGTGCAACGTGTCTCGCAGCGCCACGCCGAGTACAGTATCCGTTAGGCCGACGTCCAGTTTGGCACCCTTGGGGATCTGCGTTTCGCCTCCCAACTCTCACGCTCTCCTCCTCCCCAACTTCTCTGCCCTAAGATAATTGGTTCTTTACCCTTCTATCTGGCAACAAAACTGACACCTTTTTGCAAGGAGTCATGTTTGCATAGACCGCAATACCTGCAGTCATAATACAAACAAAAGAACATAACTCTGATAATGTGCACTGTCCTTGAAGTTGATTGGTCCACACCCGAGACAGCTTTCCTTCAAGGACAGTGCACATTATCAGAGTTATGTTCTTTTGTTTGTATTATGACTGCAGGTATTGCGGTCTATGCAAACATGACTCCTTGCAAAAAGGTGTCAGTTTTGTTGCCAGATAGAAGGGTAAAGAACCAATTATCATATTTTTACTGGCAAATGAGGTCCCCATAGTGTAGTTCTCTGCCCTAGTTTAGCCTCGATTCTCCGCCCGCTCAATATCGTCATCGTCGTCGTCACCGTCAGCTCCTCCGCACCCTCCACCACCTTCCCCTCCCCTACCTTTGTGCAAATCCCAGAACCTAGCAACCGAAACCCAAAATAATCTGTTGTCAAACAGCAAATCGCTGCCGCCGCGACAGAAACACCGCTGCCGACGGACTCTCTTGCCACCGACACCTCCTCTCACGCACGCGCTTCCTGTTCAACGGGTGCACAGGTCAGGTTTGGGGGCTCCAAGTGACCAAGCCGATTTAGAATATTCTAAGGTTTTTTCCGGTAAAGTCACGTAGGTAAAACATTAAAATTAATAAAAGTAAAATAAAATAAAAATCACGACGTTTCGGAGGCAACACAAGCTTCCGTCTTCAGCTGGAACCGTCACAGCCACGACAGCTGTATCAAGAAATGAGAGATTACAAGAGCTACCACTCCGTATATATAATGGTTGGAGAGGGGGAAGGGCCAAGTACGGCACACTTTTTATTAATATGGTAAGGTGAGGCGATTTAGAATACTCACAGAGACCGCGATGAACCCCATTTGTGGGGGATGACCAAGGGCATGAGTCTGCTGCCACGCATCGCACGTTACTCATTTTGTGATGTACACACTCCGCGGCTAACGATCAACCCCACCGCCCTCCACCCAACCAACTGCAAAACTACGGAATGACTCGGGTATCAATTCTACGCTCGCGCATGATGGCAGCCCTGTTTGTGTTCGGGAGCTAAATGCCAATGTCGAGGCCTGCTGCTGCTGCCGCTGCTGCTGCTGCTACCGCTTGTGCTGCTGCTACCGCTGGTGCTGCTGCTACTGCTGGTGCTGCTGCTGCTGCCGCTGGTGCTGCTGCTACTGCTGGTGCTGCTGCTGCTGCCGCTGCTGCTGCTGCCGCTGCTGCTGCTGCCGCTACTGCTGCTGCCGCTACTGCTGCTGCTACTGCTGCCGCTGCTGCTGCTGCTACTGCTGCCGCTGCTGCTGCTGCTACTGCTGGTGCTGCTGCTGCTGCCGCTGCTGCTGCTGCCGCTACTGCTGCTGCTACTGCTGGTGCTGATGCTGCCGCTGCTGCTGCTGATGCTGGTGCCGCCGCCGCTGCTGCTGCCGCCGCTGCTGCTACTGCTACCGCTGGTCCTGCTGCTGCTGCCGCTGCTGCTGCCGCTGTTGCTGCTACTACTGCTGCTGATGCTGGCCACGGCGGAGAAGGACTTCACGTTGTTTTGTCTGTTGCTGCTCCTCCATCGAAGGAGCACAGACTGCAGTTGTTTACTATATGGCCCATTATTCTTATTAATTATGATGATACTATAAACTACTATAACCCTTTTTTAGAAGCGCCACGGCCATCGAAAGAATGATAGCTCAACGAAGTGTACGCAAGCGTGTTGGACTTCTTTCGCAACGTACGCAGCCAACCGTGCTAATCGGAGTTGGGAAGCGGCTTATCACGCGGGAATTTATGATGTCGATTCTAAACGTGGAGAGATAAACCAGAGGACGTGGAGAAAAAATCCAAGCGACCAGGAAAACAAGCAAAATGCGAAGATACAACAGGCGTCGTCAGACTCAGGATCGAACCCACGACCTCCTGTACACCAGGTGAGGAAGTTAACATCTCCTAGCCACCGTGATGATGAGAGAGAGAGAGACACGCAAACTCCAAATATACAGCAGCAGGCGTCAGGGTCAGGATCGAACCCACGACCTCCTGTACACCAGGCGAGGTAGTTAACATCTCCTAGCCACCGTGATGATGATGAGAGAGAGAGAGACACGCAAACTCCAAATATACAGCAGCAGGCATCAGGGTCGGAATCGAACCCACGACCTCCTGTACACCAGGCGAGGGAGTTAACATCTCCTAGCCACCGTGATGATGATGAGAGAGAGACGCAAACTCCAAATACACAGCAGCAGGCGTCAGGGTCGAGATTGAACCCACGACTTCCTGTACACCAGGCGAGGGAGTTAACATCTCCTAGCCACCGTGATGATGATGAGAGAGAGAGAGACACGCAAACTCCAAACACACAGCAGGCGTCAGGGTCGGGATCGAACCCACGACCTCCTGTACACCAGGCGAGGCAGTTAACATCTCCTAGCCACCGTGATGATGAGAGAGACACGTAAACTCCAAATATACAGCAGCAGGCATCAGGCTCGGGATCGAACCCACGACTTCCTGTACACCAGGCGAGGTAGTTAACATCTCCTATCCACCGTGATGATGATGAGAGAGACACGCAAAATCCAAATACACAGCAGGCGTCAGGGTCGAGATCGAACCCACGACCTCCTGCACACCAGGCGAGGTAGTTAACATCTCCGAGCCACCGCGCCGCACACGTGAAGCGAGCGATTGGGAGGAGCGCGCGCTGCACCTGAAGGCCGACAAGGGCCCTGAAGAGGGCGGGGGAGGGCTGGGCCCAGCGAGCGTCCACCAGCACCGTGAGGCCCCTCCGTTGCACCCTCCTCCTGCACCCGGGGTGGGGGGGGGGGCGGCAGGGGGGGGGGGGTGAGCCATGCTCAGAGGTCGCCATCGGGTACCCGATACCCATACCCTACCTGATACTCGGCTACCCGTACCCGGCCGCGTACGGGTAGCCGGGTACCCGTTTGCGACCCTGGTGCGGCCGGGTACGGGTAGCCGCACGTCACTCACCCCAACCAATGAGTGAGAAGGCCGTGAGTCACTGGTGAGTCACCATTTGTCACTCATTTCCCAACGTCTTGTCTCTTCTCACAATTCAAGTTCCTAGAATCAACCCACCCGCGCCTGCAACATGACTTCATCCCAGAGGTTGCAATCGGGTACCCGTACCCGTACCCTACCCGATACCCGGCCGGGTACGGGTAGGGTACGGGTACCCGTTTGCGACCCTGGTGCAGCCGGGTACGGGTACGGGTAAGGAATCAAAACCCGTTTGCGACCTCTGGCCTTGCTTCACACGCAGCAGAGTTTGCCATCTGGACATGGTTCATGTCATGTGGTGGATTATTATTATCACGATGAAACTAAATTACTAAACTACACTTAATTTTTATTTTTACCAGGTAAGGGCCACTGAGCTATGTCGCTCTTTTTCAGAAGCGACCGGGCCAAAAATGATAGCTCAACAAAGTGGAAATGTACAGCGGCCAAATACACTGAACGCACGGTGATCCTGGATGTGAAGGGAAAAACCGGAGGACCCAGAGAAAGATCCACGGGGAGATAACATGCCAACTCCAAATATACAGCAGCAGACGTCAGGGTCGGGATCGAACCCACGACCTCCTGCACACCAGGCGAGGTAGTTAACATCTCCTAGCCACCGTGATGATGATGATGAGAGACACGCAAACTCCAAATACACAGCAGCAGGTGTCAGGGTCGAGATCGAACCCACGACCTCCTGCACACCAGGCGAGGGAGTTAACATCTCCTAGCCACCCGCGGCAAACCCCTTACAATTGCGAGCCACTCGCTAGCTCAGTCTCTCTACCGGCGAGAAACAAAATGCTAAATCTGAATATTTATACTGGAGGAATTTGATGAGCGATAAAGCTCTTTTACCACGGATGGTCGGGTAACTACGGGACACACTTTTGATTTAAAGCTTTCGTGACTGCAGGGATTCGTATTCTTGGTTCTTTCGGTAAAGTCAAGTAGAAGGGAAATAATAAAATAATTAAAAATATCAAACAATACAATTCTCGATTTAAAGCTTTCGTGACTGCAGGGATTCATCTTCTTGGTTCTTTCGGTAAAGTCACGTAGAAGGGAAATAATAAAATAATAAAATAAAACATTATAAAATGCAATTCTCACGACGTTTCGACTGCAACACAAGCAGTCATGATCAGGTGTGAAATCCACAGCTTGTGTTGCAGTCGAAACGTCGTGAGAATTGTATTGTTTCATATATTTTTTTTCCCTTCTACGTGACTTTACCGAAAGAACCAAGAAGATGAATACAATTCTCACGACGTTTCAACTGCAACACAAGCAATAGTCATCAGGTGTGAAATCCACAGCTTGTGTTGTAGTCGAAACGTCGTGAGAATTTTATTGTTTCATACATTTTTTCCCCCTTCTACGTGACTTTACCGAAAAAACCAAGAATGTGGGACGCACGTTCGTTCGCGGCCTACCTGGGCACGCAGAGGTAGTACAGCAGCAGGCGCGTCAGCTGGGCGGTGGTCCGATGGCAGGTAAACCAAGCGGCGTGGTGCGTGTACACGACCACCACAGCACGCCCGGTTCGATCCCTGCATCCTGCACAGTGCCGCCCCCTCACCGTTACCCACTGGGATCTTTGCACACAGCGTTGGTGTGCGGTGTTTTTTTAAATCCTTTATATTAAGTTCGCTTGCTTGCTTAGGACCGTGCAAATCTTTCGGTCGTTTTTTAACCCACTTCCTGTGATCCAATCGAGCTGACATTTTGCACACAGACTCGTTGTGCGTGACAATTAATGTTCGTGAATTTTTTTTTTCATATTTGATTACCAATTGTTTAATGCTGCCAGACAATCATCTGACCCATAGGTGGCAGCCATCTCAAGCCAGGGGACGAGAGGACTCTAGCCGCCCCGATGCCACGCATATAAAGGATTTATAGTGAAAAACTTTGTTTTTACGGGTTTACTTGTTTCTGCAATATTTTGCTGTCTTTTCTTGGATTTTCTGTTTGAACTCAGTCACATATTCACTTTAAGATGTTTTTTTGCGCCTTTTGGCGTCATCTGATCGAACACCATATGAGACTAGGCTCTAAAGAAAGCTGTCTCTGGTGTGGACCAATCAGTTTCAAAGACAATGCATAAATTATCAGAGTATTGTTTTTTGTTTGCATTTGACTGCAAGTATTGTGGTTAATGTAAGCATGATTCCTTGCAAAAGGTGTCAGTTTTGTTGCCAGAAAAAAGGGGAAAAAACCCTATTAGTAGATGTTTTTTTTGTTCATGTTTTTGTTTTTTGTTGTTGCGGTTGCACCCGATTCAAGAGCCAAATGGCTCACAGGGCTATATACCTAATAAATGAAACTTGAAACTTGAAAACGCTCGCTCGCAGCGTGCGAACCGCAAGACACTCTTCACAGAGATGTAATGACGCACACGCAAGCACAGCTGACTTGCAGACAAAGATCCACCGTGTAACAGAGGTCGCAAACGGGTTTTGATTCCTTACCCATACCCGTCCGCACCAGGGTCGCAAACGGGTACCCGTACCCTACACCCGGCCGGGTATCGGGTAGGGTACGGGTATCAGGTACCCGATTGCGACCTCTGCCGTGTAGCCTCAACAGACCGTTGGGGCAATGGCTGCTATGAAGACCAGCAAAGCACACGAGGGGTGGGTCGATGGCCAGTACAAGGCCCGACCGCCTTTGTCTCCCCAGTGGCGATGTTTACACATCGCAACAGCTACTCATTTGAGGCTTAGTCGACCAGGACCGGTTTAGATAATTGCCATCGGTGTTGGTGGCCGTGAGCGGGGGTCGAACTCGGGGTCACCGGGTTTTTTAGGGCAACACGCACAATGGTGGAGTGCGCTAACCGCTGCACTACCGCTCCCTACACAGCACACTGAAAGCACACTATTAAAATAAACTATTGTTTTTATTTTACCAGGTAAGGCCCCGCTGAGCTACATAGTTCTATTTCAGAAGCAACCTGGCGATCACAAATGATAGCTCAACAAAGTGGCTTATCACGTGGAAAATTTATAGCGGCCAAATAAATATGCGCGACGTTGATTCTACATGTGGAGAGAAAATCCACGCGACCACGGAGAGAACACCCAAACTCCAAATATAAAGCAGCAGGCGTCAGGGTCGTGATCGAACCCACGACCTCCTGTACACCAGGCGAGGTAGTTAACATCTCATAGCCACCGTGATGATGACAGAGAGACACACAAACTAAATATATACAGCAGCAGGCGTCAGGGTCGTGATCGAACCCACGACCTCCTGCACACCAGGCGAGGTAGTTAACATCTTTCCACCGTGGCCCACACGCACGCTGGTAACGCTGCGGATATAAGCAGCACCGTAGCCACACGCAGACAAACGCGACCTTGACGACTAGAATAACAATTTAGTACATTTGGGGTCGGTGCTATCGTCCCTATAGTGCGAGGCTATCACCGCGACGGAAGGCGCTGCTGCGTTTCAGACAGGACCCGCGATAGTTTTACAGTAGCGGGGTGGGGGTGGGGGGGGGGCGATGTAACTGCGCGCGATCCCAATTGGGTAACTTGCCGTGTAGTTCTATGAACTTTGCAAAACCACGACCGAATAACCTCGCTGGATCGTTAACGTCCACCGTAAAAGCGCAAGGTGCACGGTAACCTCGCGGTTAACACCGCTGCAATGATAACCAAGGCCGCCTTGCCAGATTAGAACCCTCGAACGTCTTGCAAACGAGCGGGCATTAAACGCGCTACCCGCAAGGCCGCGCCACCGCCACCGCAAACCAGGGGGCAACTGCATGGCGGCGTGGAACAAGCGGAGGCCAACTCACCGGGAACGACTGCGATCCCAGACTGGAGGACTTCCGTGTCCACGTCAGTTGCCCGCAAGCGGAACCACTGGGAGGGTGCTTGAACTGCAGGGCTGTTTCTGCTCTTCTCCGCCAATAAACAGAAATTTGTCTGGGTGGGATCAGAGCCTATTGTGTGAATGAGGTCAGTGCCTTTTATCTGTGTGCGGTCAGTGTCTCTTTTCTGTATAAGGGCAGTGCTTCTTGTGTGTGTGGGGTCAGTGTCTCTTGTGTGTGCAAGGTCAGTGTATCTTGTGTGTGTGGGGTCAGTTTCTCTTCTCTGTACAAGGGCAGTGCTTCTTGCCTGGATAAGGCCTTTTATCTGTGTGGGGTCACCGTCTCTTGTGTGTGTGAGGTCAGTGTTTCTTGTGTGTGTGAGGTCAGTGTCTCTTGTGGGGTCAGTGTCTATTGTGAGTGTGGGGTCCGTGTCTCGTCTCTGTACAAGGTCAGTGCTTCGAGTCTGGACAGGGTCAGTGCCTTTCATCTGTGTGGGGTCAGTGTCTCTTGTGTGTGTGGGTTTAGTATCTTGTCTCTGTACAAGGTCAGTGCTTCTTGTCTGTACAAGTTCAGTGCCTTTAATCTGTGTGGGGTCAGTGTCTCTTGTGTGTGTGGGTTCAGAGTGTTTTGTGAGTGTGGGGTCAGTGTCACTTGTGTGTGTGGGTTCAGTGCCTTTAATTTGTGTGGGGTCAGTCTCTTTTTTCTGTGTGGGTTCAGAGTGTTTTGTGAGTGTGGGGTCAATGTATCTTGTGTGTGTGGGGTCAGTGTCACTTGTGTGTGTGGGGTCTGTGTCACTTGTGAGTGTGGGGTCAGTGTCTCTTGTGAGTGTGGGGTCAGTGTCTCTTGTGTGTGTGGGGTCAGTGTCTCTTGTGTGTGTGGGGTCAGTGTATCTTGTGAGTGTGGGGTCAGTGACTCTTGTGTGTGTGGGGTCAGTGTCACTTGTGTGTGTGGGGTCAGTGTCTCTTGTGTGTGTGGGGTCAGTGTATCTTGTGAGTGTGGGGTCAGTGACTCTTGTGTGTGTGGGGTCAGTGTCACTTGTGTGTGTGGGGTCAGTGTCTCTTGTGTGTGTGGGGTCAGTGTCTCTTGTGTGTGTGGGGTCAGTGTCTCTTGTGTGTGTGGGGTCAGTGTCTTTTGTGGGGTCAGTGTCTCTTGTGGGGTCAGTGTCACTTGTGTGTGTGGAGTCAGTGTCTCTTGTGTGTGTGGGGTCAGTGTCTCTTGTGTGTGTGGGGTCAGTGTCTCTTGTGAGTGTGGGGTCAGTGTCTCTTGTGTGTGTGGGGTCAGTGTCTCTTGTGTGTGTGGGGTCAGTGTCTCTTGTGAGTGTGGGGTCAGTGTCTCTTGTGTGTGTGGGGTCAGTGTCTCTTGTGTGTGTGGGGTCAGTGTCTATTGTGAGTGTGGGGTCAGTGTCTCTTGTGAGTGTGGGGTCAGTGTCTCTTGTGAGTGTGGGGTCACTGTCTCTTGTGTGTGTGGGGTCAGTGTCTCTTGTGTGTGTGGGGTCAGTGTCTCTTGTGAGTGTGGGGTCAGTGTCTCTTGTGTGTGTGGGGTCAGTGTCTCTTGTGTGTGTGGGGTCAGTGTCTCTTGTGTGTGTGGGGTCAGTGTCTCTAGTGTGTGTGGGGTCAGAGTCTCTTGTGTGTGTGGGGTCAGTGTCTCTTGTGTGTGTGGGGTCAGTGTCTATTGTGAGTGTGGGGTCAGTGTATCTTGTGTGTGTGGGGTCAGTGTCTCTTGTGAGTGTGGGGTCAGTGTCTCTTGTGTGTGTGGGGTCAGTGTCTCTTGTGTGTGGGGGGTCAGTGTCTCTTGTGTGTGTGGGGTCAGTGTCTCTTGTGTGTGTGGGGTCAGTGTCTATTGTGAGTGTGGGGTCAGTGTCTCTTGTGAGTGTGGGGTCAGTGTCTCTTGTGAGTGTGGGGTCAGTGTCTCTTGTGTGTGTGGGGTCAGTGTCTCTTGTGTGTGTGGGGTCAGTGTCTCTTGTGAGTGTGGGGTCAGTGTCTCTTGTGTGTGTGGGGTCAGTGTCTCTTGTGTGTGTGGGGTCAGTGTCTCTTGTGTGTGTGGGGTCAGTGTCTCTTGTGTGTGTGGGGTCAGTGTCTCTTGTGTGTGTGGGGTCAGTGTCTCTTGTGTGTGTGGGGTCAGTGTCTCTTGTGGGTTCAGTGTCACTTGTGTGTGTGGGGTCAGTGTCTCTTGTGTGTGTGAGGTCAGTGTCTCTTGCGTGTGTGGGGTCAGTGTCTCTTGTGAGTGTGGGGTGAGTGTCTCTTGTGAGTGTGGGGTCAGTGTCTCTTGTGAGTGTGGGGTCAGTGTCTCTTGTGTGTGTGGGGTCAGTGTCTCTTGTGAGTGTGGGGTCAGTGTCTCTTGTGTGTGTGGGGTCAGTGTCTCTTGTGTGTGTGGGGTCAGTGTCACTTGTGAGTGTGGGGTCAGTGTCTCTTGTGTGTGTGGGGTCAGTGTCTCTTGTGTGTGTGGGGTCAGTGTCTCTTGTGAGTGTGGGGTCAGTGTCCCTTGTGTGTGTGGGGTCAGTGTCTCTTGTGTGTGTGGGGTCAGTGTCTCTTGTGTGTGTGGGGTCAGTGTCTCTTGTGTGTGTGGGGTCAGTGTCTCTTGTGTGTGTGGGGTCAGTGTCTCTTGTGTGTGTGGGGTCAGTGTCTCTTGTGGGTTCAGTGTCACTTGTGTGTGTGGGGTCAGTGTCTCTTGTGTGTGTGGGGTCAGTGTCTCTTGTGTGTGTGGGGTCAGTGTCTCTTGTGAGTGTGGGGTGAGTGTCTCTTGTGAGTGTGGGGTCAGTGTCTCTTGTGAGTGTGGGGTCAGTGTCTCTTGTGTGTGTGGGGTCAGTGTCTCTTGTGTGTGTGGGGTCAGTGTCTCTTGTGTGTGTGGGGTCAGTGTCTCTTGTGTGTGTGGGGTCAGTGTCTCTTGTGAGTGTGGGGTCAGTGTCTCTTGTGTGTGTGGGGTCAGTGTCTCTTGTGTGTGTGGGGTCAGTGTCACTTGTGGGGTCAGTGTCTCTTGTGGGGTCAGTGAGTGTGGGGTCAGTGTCTCTTGTGGGGTCAGTGAGTGTGGGGTCAGTGTCTCTTGTGGGGTCAGTGAGTGTGGGGTCAGTGTCTCTTGTGAGTGTGGGGTCAGTGTCTCTTGTGAGTGTGGGGTCAGTGTCACTTGTGGGGTCAGTGTCTCTTGTGGGGTCAGTGAGTGTGGGGTCAGTGTCTCTTGTGGGGTCAGTGAGTGTTGGGTCAGTGTCTCTTGTGAGTGTGGGGTCAGTGTCTCTTGTGAGTGTGGGGTCAGTGTCACTTGTGGCGTCAGTGTCTATTGTCCTTGTGGGGTCAGTGTCTATTGTGAGTGTGGGGTCAGTGTCTCTTGTGGGGTCAGTGAGTGTGGGGTCAGTGTCTCTTGTGTGTGTGGGGTCAGTGTCTATTGTGTGTGTGGGGTCAGTGTCTCTTGTGTGTGTGGGGTCAGTGTCTCTTGTGTGTGTGGGGTCAGTGTCTCTTGTGTGTGTGGGGTCAGTGTCTCTTGTGAGTGTGGGGTCAGTGTCACTTGTGTGTGTGGGGTCAGTGTCTCTTGTGTGTGTGGGGTCAGTGTCTCTTGTGTGTGTGGGGTCAGTGTCTCTTGTGTGTGTGGGGTCAGTGTCTCTTGTGAGTGTGGGGTCAGTGTCTATTGTGAGTGTGGGGTCAGTGTCTCTTGTGGGGTCAGTGAGTGTGGGGTCAGTGTCTCTTGTGTGTGTGGGGTCAGTGTCTCTTGTGTGTGTGGGGTCAGTGTCTCTTGTGTGTGTGGGGTCAGTGTCTCTTGTGAGTGTGGGGTCAGTGTCACTTGTGTGTGTGGGGTCAGTGTCTCTTGTGTGTGTGGGGTCAGTGTCACTTGTGTGTGTGGGGTCAGTGTCTCTTGTGTGTGTGGGGTCAGTGTCTCTTGTGAGTGTGGGGTCAGTGTCTCTTGTGTGTGTGGGGTCAGTGTATCTTGTGTGTGTGGGGTCAGTGTCTCTTGTGTGTGTGGGGTCAGTGTCTCTTGTGAGTGTGGGGTCAGTGTCTCTTGTGTGTGTGGGGTCAGTGTATCTTGTGAGTGTGGGGTCAGTGTCTCTTGTGGGGTCAGTGAGTGTGGGGTCAGTGTCTCTTGTGAGTGTGGGGTCAGTGTCACTTGTGAGTGTGGGGTCAGTGTCTCTTGTGTGTGTGGGGTCAGTGTCACTTGTGAGTGTGGGGTCAGTGTCTCTTGTGTGTGTGGGGTCAGTGTCTCTTGTGGGGTCAGTGAGTGTGGGGTCAGTGTCTCTTGTGGGGTCAGTGAGTGTGGGGTCAGTGTCTCTTGTGTGTGTGGGGTCAGTGTCACTTGTGGGGTCAGTGTCTCTTGTGGGGTCAGTGAGTGAGGGGTCAGTGTCTCTTGTGGGGTCAGTGAGTGTGGGGTCAGTGTCTCTTGTGAGTGTGGGGTCAGTGTCACTTGTGGCATCAGTGTCTATTGTCCTTGTGGGGTCAGTGTCTATTGTGAGTGTGGGGTCAGTGTCTCTTGTGGGGTCAGTGAGTGTGGGGTCAGTGTCTCTTGTGTGTGTGGGGTCAGTGTCACTTGTGAGTGTGGGGTCAGTGTCTCTTGTGTGTGTGGGGTCAGTGTCACTTGTGGGGTCAGTGTCTCTTGTGGGGTCAGTGAGTGAGGGGTCAGTGTCTCTTGTGAGTGTGGGGTCAGTGTCACTTGTGGGGTCAGTGTCTCTTGTGGGGTCAGTGAGTGAGGGGTCAGTGTCTCTTGTGGGGTCAGTCAGTGTGGGGTGAGTGTCTCTTGTGAGTGTGGGGTCAGTGTCACTTGTGGGGTCAGTGTCTCTTGTGGGGTCAGTGAGTGAGGGGTCAGTGTCTCTTGTGGGGTCAGTGAGTGTGGGGTCAGTGTCTCTTGTGAGTGTGGGGTCAGTGTCACTTGTGGCATCAGTGTCTATTGTCCTTGTGGGGTCAGTGTCTATTGTGAGTGTGGGGTCAGTGTCTCTTGTGGGGTCAGTGAGTGTGGGGTCAGTGTCTCTTGTGAGTGTGGGGTCAGTGTCACTTGTGGGGTCAGTGTCTCTTGTGGGGTCAGTGAGTGAGGGGTCAGTGTCTCTTGTGGGGTCAGTGAGTGTGGGGTCAGTGTCTCTTGTGAGTGTGGGGTCAGTGTCACTTGTGGCATCAGTGTCTATTGTCCTTGTGGGGTCAGTGTCTATTGTGAGTGTGGGGTCAGTGTCTCTTGTGGGGTCAGTGAGTGTGGGGTGAGTGTCTCTTGTGAGTGTGGGGTCAGTGTCACTTGTGGGGTCAGTGTCTATTGTCCTTGTGGGGTCAGTGTCTATTGTGAGTGTGGGGTCAGTGTCACTTGTGTGTGTGGGGTCAGTGTCACTTGTGTGTGTGGGGTCAGTGTCACTTGTGTGTGTGGGGTCAGTGTCTATTGTCCTTGTGGGGTCAGTGTCTCTTGTGTGTGTGGGATCAGTGTCACTTGTGAGTGTGGGGTCAGTGTCTCTTGTGTGTGTGGGGTCAGTGTCTGTTGTGAGTGTGGGGTCAGTATATATTGTGAGTGTGGGGTCAGTGTCTCTTGTGGGGTCAGTGAGTGTGGGGTCAGTGTCTCTTGTGAGTGTGGGGTCAGTGTCACTTGTGGGGTTAGTGTCTATTGTCCTTGTGGGGTCAGTGTCTAATGTGAGTGTGGGGTCAGTGTCACTTGTGGCGTCAGTGTCTCTTGTGGGGTCAGTGTCTCTTGTGGGGTCAGTGAGTGTGGGGTCAGTGTCTCTTGTGAGTGTGGGGTCAGTGTCACTTGTGGGGTCAGTGTCTATTGTCCTTGTGGGGTCAGTGTCACTTGTGAGTGTGAGGTCAGTGTCTATTGTGAGTGTGAGGTCAGTGTCTCTTGTGGCGTCAGTGTCTCTTGTGGGGTCAGTGAGTGTGGGGTCAGTGTCTCTTGTGGGGTCAGTGTCTCTTGTGTGTGTGGGGTCAGTGTCTATTGTCCGTGTGAGGTCAGCGTCTCCATCCAGCAACAGGGTCTGCAGCTCTCCATCGCTCAGCGCCACGCCGCCGCTGCCGCTGCTGTTGGTGCTGCTCCCGGTAGGAGCAGCTGCCGCTGTTTCATGCTCAGCAGGGCGGCAGGCCTCTTCGCCAGTAACTCCGGCACCCGCCGCTCCTCCTGTTTGAGCGTCTTCGCGAACACGACCCTCAGCGCTGCCCTTCCACGGAACATCGGGGGGCACGCTCCGCCCGTAGCGGGCGTCATCCGCGGGAAATCGCTGGCTCCCCGAAGCTGGCAATGTACTTGGGCAACAATCTCCGAGGCTTGTAGAAGTCAATTCCCCGACTGCGTCGCCGTTGCTCAGTGTCGAGGGCTCACGGCGTCCCGCGCGGGCGGAACGGATGCGACGCGAACGCGATTGGTCGGTGCGCTCCCCGTCACTCGTCCGTCCGGCACGTATGGCGGCACGCGCGGAGGCACGCTCGGAGGCACGTGTGGCGGCACACGAAGTTTCCGAGCGGCCCGGGGGAGAGCTCGCGCCCATCCCGTTCGTGTCGGCCGCACACCGTCCGACGGAATCTAAGAACGTAAAGAAAACGTCCGTAAGGCAGACAACGAGACGGAAGAAAAGTCAATAATGTCAACACAGCAAACTGGACTGAAAACTCATTTCTTGTTGCTTCTTCTCCCGCACCTTCGATTAGCAAGGTTGGCTACGTACGGTACGAAAGAAGTTCAAACATCCGTAAATAGACTCACACAGAGATCTATAGACTCACACAGAGATCTATAGACTCACACAGAGACCCATAGACTCACACAGAGACCCATAGATTCACACAGAGACCCAGAGCCTCACACAGAGACCCATAGACTCACACAGAGACCCATAGACTCACACAGAGACCCATAGACTCACACAGAGACCCATAGACTCACACAGAGACCCATAGACTCACACAGAGACCCAGAGCCTCACACAGAGACCCAGAGCCTCACACAGAGACCCATAGACTCACACAGAGACCCATAGACTCACACAGAGACCCAGAGCCTCACACAGAGACCCATAGACTCACACAGAGACCCATAGACTCACACAGAGACCCATAGACTCACACAGAGACCCATAGACTCACACAGAGACCCATAGACTCACACAGAGACCCAGAGCCTCACACAGAGACCCATAGACTCACACAGAGACCCATAGACTCACACAGAGACCCATAGGCTCACACAGAGACCCATAGACTCACACAGAGACCCATAGACTCACACAGAGACCCATAGACTCACACAGAGACCCATAAACTCACACAGAGACCCATAGACTCACACAGAGACCCATAGACTCACACAGAGACCCATAGACTCACACAGAGACCCATAGACTCACACAGAGACCCATAGACTCACACAGAGACCCATAGACTCACACAGAGACCCATAGACTCACACAGAGACCCAGAGCCTCACACAGAGACCCAGAGCCTCACACAGAGACCCATAGACTCACACAGAGACCCAGAGCCTCACACAAAGACCCATAGACTCACACAGAGACCCAGAGCCTCACACAGAGACCCGTAGACTCACACAGAGACCCATAGACTCACACAGACCCATAGACTCACACAGAGACCCATTTGTTTATAATTTCCTTTTAGTGTTTAGTTTGCAGCTACTTCCCCCGCATTGTCATGGATGGCTACGTACGGTGCAAAAGAAGTTCAACATACGTACATATATACAGTCCACATTCGAAAAGTGACACCACACAATTACTCAGTTGGGGATTGCACACAACGGCTCAGGGGGAGCGCCTTCATGGAGCAGTGGATCAATCATGGCTGACGGCGATGGAAAAATAGCCAAGGGTTCGTGTCAGGAAACTCGAAGGCCTATTTTTGGTGCCGTGCATTAACGCGCCCTTAGACGGAGACCCCAGAGGTGTGTTCGTATCGTCGATGGCGCTTGCCAAATGAGGCCGAGGGAACAAGTTTATCCGGTACACTTCTTCTCGACTCAATATCAAAACGTGGAGATTGTTGACATTGTTTTTTTCCATCGGCTGTTTCGTCGTAGCCTGCCCCGCCCGTCAAAACGGGGAGAACATTCCAACATCATTGTAGAGTTTCGATTTAAAGCTTTCGTGACTGCATAGGATTCATCTTCTTGGTTCTTTCGGTAAAGTCACGTAGAAGGGAAGTAATGAAATAATACAAATAAAACATAATTAAATATTTATATTTAAAGCTTTCGTGACTGCATAGGATTCATCTTCTTGGTTCTTTCGGTAAAGTCACGTAGAAGGGAAGTAATACTATTTTATTATTTCCCTTCTACGTGACTTTACCGAAAGAACCAAGAAGATGAATCCCTGCAGTCACGAAAGCTTTAAATCGAAATTCCAAATGTGTCTCACCAAGTGCAAATTTCGATTTAAAGCTTTCGTGACTGCAGGGATTCATCTTCTTGGTTCTTTCGGTAAATTCACGTAGAAGGGAAATCATAAAATTATATAATTATTTTTCTGTTTATTATTTTATTATTTCCCTTCTACGTGACTTTACCGAAAAAACCAAGAAGATGAATCCCTGCAGTCACGAAAGCTTTAAATCGTGTTCACCCTTATCTGTTGCAACTTTCATAATGGCGTTGTTTGTTGCTTTGGGCCTTTGGGCCTGTGCTCAAAACCTGCGTTCAAGCGAAGATATCCCACCGGCATGGAAGAGGAGGCCAAACACTGTCTACAGGGGCTCTCTGCAGACGCAACAACTGGACATTACGCTCCGCCTGCTTCACAGGGGATTTTGATTTGAAGCTTTCGTGACTGCAGGGATTCATCTTCTTGGTTCTTTCGGTAAAGTCAGACTCTGTCGCCTCGACGGACCTGGTTTTCACCTGAGGACGGCTGCTTGCGTTGTGGCCGAAACGTCGTGAGAATAATTTTATTATGTTTTATTTTTATTATTTTTTTATTATTTTATTACTTCCCTTCTACGTGACTTTACCGAAAGAACCAAGAAGATGATTCACAGGGGATGTTAAAGATCCCCGTGACGCCATTCGGAAAGAGCAGGCCCCATCGTGTCCCGGGCGTCACGGACAAAATTTGGCAAATTCGCACAGCGGTGGCAGCACAGCAGCCCGACTGTTCAACGACTGCAGACTGCGTCTGTGAAACACAGCAGGCGCCTTCCCCCGATCACGATGATCGCCCTTGCCAATGACTATCACCAACGACTATTTACGATAACAAATTTCTCCAAATGAGCGGAACGGATGCGACGAGTCCGCGGGGATCTTTAACGGCCACTGCGAAACGGACGGCGCGTATTCGTACGGTTAAAACCACACCACCGCCGCGGTACTAACCGGGGCATCTTGCCGGATTTGAACCACAAACTTCTTGCAATGAGCAGAGAAGCGCGCCCACCGCTGACCCACGGTGTCACTTCCGGTAGCAGCACCAACAGTTCACAACACATTCCTGCGGAGGGAGCTGGTAGGAACGTTGGGTTGCTCGGTCAATGGCCTGCAGGGTCAACGGCGGCGTGGTGTATTCCGCAAATATGCCCGACTGTGAGGGCGGGCACAAGCCGGCGTGAGTAGGTTAAACGTTGAGTTTTATAAGGGCACCACGGGGTGACCAGCCCCTCCCCACCCAGCCCCACCCCTCCCACCCCCCACCCAGCCCCACCCCCCACCCAGCCCCACCCTCCCCACCCAGCCCCTCCCCACCCTTCCCACCCAGCCCCTCCTCACCCTCCCCACCCAGCCCCTCCCCACCCTCCCCACCCAGCCCCTCCCCATCCAGCCCTCCCCACCCTCCCCACCCAGCCCCTCCCCACCCTCCCCTCCCCACCCAGCCCCACCCTCCCCACCCAGCCCCTCCCCACCCCTCCTCTCCCTACCCAGCCCCCTCCCCACCCAGCCCCTCCCCACCCTCCCCTCTACACCCAGCCCCACCCCTCCCATTGTTGGATGCACGACGGACAGACGGACACAATAATCCCCTGTGGGCTGGTGTAACCAGGAGGTTGCCACCAGCATTATCTGTATGCGTGTCCGTAGCCAACCGTGCTAATCGGAGGTGCGCGGGAAGGAGCAACAAAGTAAAGCACACGCACCACGACACGGGCGAGTGTGAGTTATGAAGAATGCTCATGGTATGCGGTGGTGGTGGGCGTTGGCTCTCTTGACCCATCGCACCTCCCCCCCCCCGCGCCAAGTTATTCCGAGCTGAGCATGCGTCGTCGTCAACTGGCTTGAACAACACAGCAGCGCCGCATTCACGAGTTCAACAGTGGCGCAAAGACAAAGGTCTCCTGCTGTGTAGCCTCAACAAACTGTCGGGGGGCAAAAGTACGTGCGTTGAACTTCTTTCACACCATACGTAGCCAACCGTGCTAACCGAGCGCACATGAAGGCCACCACCACGCCCGGCCGCTGTTTTCTCCCCCGTGTTGATGATTTAAACACCGCACCAGGTACTCATTTGAGGCAGAGTCGACCTAGGGGAGGCCCAGGTCCGGTTCTGATAATCGCATTGGCAGTGAGCGGTAAATTGAACTCTGGTCGCCGGGTTTTCAGAGCAGTGCGCTAACCACTACACTACCGGCTCCCCCACAATGTGGCATGCTCACGTAGGCCTCGGCAAGGCAAGGTAAAAGTGTAAAAACAACGAGCCTACCTTTACCCTACCTTTACCCTACCTTTACCCTACCACAATACAATCACTCTACCCTACCTTTTAGCACTCCCGCACTCCCGCAACGAGCCTACCTTTTACCCTACCCTTTACCCTACCACAATACAATCACTCTACCCTACCTTTTAGCACTCCCGCACTCCCGCAACGAGCCTACCTTTACCCTACCTTTACCCTACCACAATACAATCACTCTACCCTACCTTTTAGCACTCCCGCACTCCCGCAACGAGCCTACCTTTTACCCTACCCTTTACCCTTAGCCCTTGGCATGTCGACACCTTTACCTTGACCCTTTTACTCGATAAAAAGGGTACAATTACCTTACCTTGCCGAAGCCTATGCTCACGCACACACACACACACACCGTGCCCGTTTGTCACAGCAAGGCATTGAGAGCTCACCTGCAAATGTGGAGCGTGAGAGTGTCACTCCTTCAGCGCCAGCGGGGACCCGGCACACGCCGTCACGGAGCCGTTCACCGTCCGCATCTCCTGCAGCAGCAACTGCCACCGCCGCCAGCTCATCGGCTCCCTCGTCATCATCTGCACTTTCACTGCCGGTTCCCGCAGCTCTCGGTGGGCGGCCGCCCGCATTCACCCAACGGCCGCCCTCGTCGTCCTCCCAGAGTGCTTTGCGATCGCCTACCGGCTCGGCGGCGAGGCATTCCCTCGCTCGCCCGCCCGTGTGTCTCTCCGGCTCAAGCGGGGCGCCCGCCAACGCGTTCGCTTCGGCGGGCGCCGCGCTCGAGCGGAGTTCTTCCGGGGCCTCGGCAACGCCCGAGCCGGCGCGTGTCCCGCGCTCCCGGTCGCCGCTCGTGCCCTCCCAAGCGTCGGCGGGTAACGCGCGACGCCCTTGCGGGGCTGGAGCTCGCGAGCCACCGTCAGCGGCGCGCCTCTCTCCGGACACAGTCACGGGTGGATCAAAGACAGCAGTAGCAGCAGGAGCAGCAGGAGCAGCAGTAGCAGCAGGAGCAGCAGTAGCAGCAGGAGCAGCAGGAGCAGCCGGCTGAGGTCGTGACATTTGTAAAGATTCATTCAGAGCAGCAGAGTCAAAGTCCCGTCGGTGAAAGGCCCTGCGTGCAGTCAACGGGCGGACCTCTCTCTCCGCAAGCTCTTCAGTCACTCGACTGCCCTTCCTCTCGGTCTCCTCTGGCCGCGGCATTTCTGCCGGTACCGTACCCACGCCGCCTGCGCTCAGCTCCTGTGGCGGGGCGTCGTTGTCAAGTGGCGTCTGCTCCGTCGGGACCAGGACTCGCTCCGCTGGCCTTGGCGACGAAGCCATCCCGTCGTCCGTCCCGTCGTGGTGCCGTTGGGTGGCTCCAAGGGGCGGCTCGCAAACTGTTTCAACCTCTCCGGGGCTACCGGGGAGCCGGGCGATTCCCCCCGGCGGAATGCCGTGAGCTGTCGTCAACAGGCCGACCCGTGCCGTGTCGTTGTTCGTCTGGGGGCAGCTGAACAGCTCCGAGTGAAAACAAGGTGTGCCGAGTTGCGAGACGTCCCAGGAACGACGGTCATTTGGCTTCCCGCGCGGCGCTCGCCCTCCGCTCGTCGTGCGCACGTCAAATATCCTGACTCGGCCCTCCATCTCATCGACGCACGCCGACCCGGTCGAGTTGCCCGCCGGCGATTCTGACGCGGTGAGGCTGAGCGCGCCGTGCGTAGCCCCGGGCCGCGCGCAAGTTGCGACAAGAAGTTGCGTGGCAGCGGCGGCGGCCATAGCAGCCTCCGAGCGTGGGAGGCTCGCGCCAAGCGTCGCCTGCTCGCAACCGCCGCGATTGTCCTGCGCGAAGAAGTGGAGCTGCCCGAAAATACTTTTTGGCATCTTCCCCGAGCTCGGCGGCTCACCCGGACCGTGCCGATGGTCGCGTGCGTCTTCAAACGCTCCCGTGCCAACGCGTTCGGGGAAACGCCGGCTGCGAGTGGGCACGACGGCACGCTCGGCCCTTGCTCCGGGCGGGCGCGCACCGTCAGAATAACTTTCAGGATCGCTCGCGGCCCCGTGGGGAAAAACAGCAGCCGCAGCGTTTCCCGTGTCGCTGTGGGCACGGCTGGAGATCGGCAGCTGATGCGGGGGGACGACTTGGCAATCGTTACGGCGTCTCATTACGTTGCTCTGTACGAGCTCGCTTTGATGACTTCCTTCCTGAGTTGCGCCGCGACACCGAGACGCAACATTGGCGTCGCTCACGGCCGCATACTTGCGGTTGTTGGAAGAGGCAACTGCACCGAAAGCGACTCCGACGAGGCAAGGCGCCCCTTGGCAATCTGAAGAGGCGGCCGAAGCCGATTCGATTGTGAAGGCACTGAGCGGATTCGCATGGCTCGGCCCGTTTAGTTTCAACCATCAACTTGTTCGCAGCAGCAGCAGCAACGGCGTCGTCATCGTCAACATCACCTCTACGCCCCGTCGCTAGTTCCAACCCGCCACGTGACCCGCCGGGAGCGGTGTGCGAGGCACGCGTGCTTCCAGCAGGGCTGACCCGACGCCTGCCCAAACACGTTTGGGACCGATTCACCTCGCCGGCGTCTCCGGACTCCGGCGCGCAGGCGCGGGACGCCGAATCATCGCCGGGTTTGTCCTCGGAGCCGGCAAGACTCGCGGCGGTGGCGGCGGCGGCGGCGTCACCGCCGCCGCGCTCCATCGCACTCTCCTCCGGCGACGCCGAGTCCTGCCGAGCCGAGGGTCTCGGCACGTCGACAAACTCGGGCTGCAGCAGCTCCTTCCAGGGCAGCCGCACGGGCCCCTCGGGACAGGAGAGCACGCAGTTCTCTAGCGGAGGGCCCCCCCTCTCCGCACTCACCCCCTGCAGCCATTCCATGCTCAAGAGGCTGCAGAGCGGGTCATCGGGGCAGGACACCTCCAGGACGTTGGCATGGCGCTGCCGGGATTGCCGGCCGCGGTGGTGCCTGTGCCGGGGTTGCCGCAAGCCGCGCCGGGAGAGGCACTTCAAGACGACCCGGGGAGTCTGCTCCCCGCTCGGACTCGGAACGACCTGCGCAGTGAAGACATCGTTAGCGGTCATCGCCCTTGTACATCCACCGTGGCGGCGGCACCACCACCACGGAGGTGGGATGGGAGCAGGGTAGCGTGGCATCACCACCACCACCACCGTGGTGGTGGTGGTGGTGATGGTGCCACGCTACCCTGCTCCCATCCCACATTGCCACCATGCCACCATGCCACCCCACCGCCCTGTCCCCCTGCCACCTTCCCAGCATGCCCCCCTACTGCCCTGCCACCCTCCCAACATGCCGCCCTGACACCTTGCCAGGCTCCCAGCATGCCCCTCTGCCACCCTACCACGCTCCCAGAATGCCCCTCTGCCACCCTACCACGCTCCCAGCATGCCCCTCTGCCACCCTACCACGCTCCCAGCATGCCCCTCTGCCACCCTACCACGCTCCCAGCATGCCCCTCTGCCACCCTACCACGCTCCCAGCATGCCCCTCTGCCACGCTCCCAGCATGCCCCTCTGCCACCCTACCACGCTCCCAGCATGCCCCTCTGCCACCCTACCACGCTCCCAGAATGCCCCTCTGCCACCCTACCACGCTCCCAGCATGCCCCTTTGCCACCCTACCACGCTCCCAGCATGCCCCTCTGCCACCCTACCACGCTCCCAGCATGCCCCTCTGCCACCCTACCACGCTCCCAGCATGCCCCTCTGCCACCCTACCACGCTCCCAGCATGCCCCTCTGCCACGCTCCCAGCATGCCCCTCTGCAACACTGCCACGCTCCCAGCATGCCGCCCACCTGCAGGTAGAAGTCCCGTGATCGCAGCACGTGGGGGTCGAGGTCACAAAGCTGGAGCACCACACGCTCCCCCAGGCAAAGCGGCCATCCCTCGTGACGAAAGATCTTCCCCGGATAGTTTGCCTGCACAACACACGCACAAAGACAAAGATCCCCGTGTAACCTTAACCGACTGTTGGGCCAAGTGCTGTGAGCGAGCAGCGCCTATGAAGGCCGGCACCACGAGGGGGTGGGTGGCCTTCAACACCACGCCCGGGCACCTTTGTCTCCCCAGTGATGATGTTTACACACTGCACCAGGTACTCATTTGAGGCTTAGTCGACCTAGGGGAGGCCCAGGATCGTTTCAGATATAACAGCCGGGGCGGGGCGGGTCAGTGAGTTCCAATAGGAATAAGTAATGTTTTAAAAAACTTTGTTAAAAAACACGCTTTAATGAAATGTACCGTACTAGTAATGGAAGAACTCCACGACTCCAGAAAGTGGCCCCGAAGCTTGCCATAGCGTAAGGGACCGTGGTGATGTACGGCCAACGTCAGATTACCGTGGACAATTAGAGCCAAGCCGAAACATAACATATAAAAAATTTGGTTTTAAAATATGTTTTTTTTTATATTTTATGCTAGAATATAGTATTGTCATCAGTATGACATAAATATACCAAGCTTGCAGTCGATACCACATTGGGAAGTTAGTAAAAATTGAGTTACAAGATTTGAGGATACAACAACGACAACAACAACGGACAGAATTAGTTAATAAAAAGCGTGTAAAAAACGATCCACAAAACTGAAATGGAGTGTAAAATAGAGAAAGAGGTAACAAAGTCACTAAAGATAAATAAATAGTAAACTTTTGTTTACATAAGTCCGATTTATCAAGCTTGGGCAAGGCAGCAAAACCAACAACAACAACACAATACCAGACCATGACAAAACAGTCACAGATTCACGTCACACGGTTTGAGCGTCTCCCCCCCCCACCCCCCATTCTCCTGTTCACCTGGACCGCACCGCAATCACGGCCGTGCACGGGGTTTGTTCGGCACGATGTCCCGACGTCGTTCGGCTCCTTGAAAGGCGCACCGGGCACGCTGGAGCGCGCAAACGTCGGACATCGTGGCAAACGGCGCGAGGGGCGAGTCGGGAGAGCTCTGCCCTAGCCCGAACTGGGAGGGTGAGGCCTACGCTGTGCATTCGCAAGGAAGGTCGTGGGTCACGATGACACTGTCAACCCTTCAGCGGCTTCAGGTTCTTAAAATCAATCGACTCGCTTCTCAAAACCTATTCGCGTCAATGCAATACAGAGCGGGGATTTCTGTACAGTCTCGATGCGACCGCATCTCAAGAGTCCAGAGAGAAGGGGGGGGGGGAAGAGGACTTATTAATGCCGTAGAGAGAGAGACACAGAGGCAGCGAGTCAACGGTCGAGATAAAAAGGACAGTCTTGAGCCTGGACCTGAACGGCGGCAGGGAGACGACAACACGGACAGCTGGGAGGGTCAACAGAGCGACCGGCCTCCCACTCATGAAAGCCTGACTGGGGGATTTGACAGAAAGGCTTAATTGGCGGAGCGGAGAGTGTGTGCAGGGGAGTGGAGTGAGATGAGAGGAGAGAGGCAGGAGAGTGCGTGGAGGGGAGTAGAGTGAGATTAGAGGCGAGAGGCAGGAGAGTGCGTGGAGGGGAGTGGAGTGAGATGAGAGGGGAGAGGTAGGAGAGTGCGTGGAGGGGTGTGGAGTGAGATGAGAGGGGAGAGGCAGGAGAGCGCGTGGAGGGGAGTAGAGTGAGATGAGAGGGGAGAGGTAGGAGAGTGCGTGGAGGGGAGTAGAGTGAGATGAGAAGGAGGAGGCAGGAGAGTGCATGGAGGGGAGTGTAGTGAGAAGAGAGGGGAGAGGTAGGTGAGGGCGTGGAGGGGAGTAGAGCGAGATGGGAGGGGAGAGGCAGGAGAGTGTGTGGAGGGGAGTGGAGTGAGATGAGAGGTAGGAGAGTGTGTGGAGGGGAGTGGAGCGAGATGGGAGGGGAGAGGCAGGAGAGTGCGTGGAGCAGAGTTGAGCGATATAACAGGGGAGAGGTAGGCCAGGGGCGAGTCATCGTTAGTGGCCATTTGTTTCAAGTTACGGGCAAAGTGGCGACACGAGGGCTTCGTGACAGATGCCACGGGGATAACATCCACGAGGAGGCGTCAACGCGTAATCACAAGTGCAACTTTCGCTCGGCCCCCCAAACCCAAACGCTGAAATTGTCACCGCTTCTTCTTGAGCCAGGCCAATACCTCAAGGCCAACGATAAATCGTCCAGGTGCGATTGAAGGCAGGCGAACTGCTCATCTCTGAAAGGACAAAGCTGTAATTTATTTTAAACTTTCAGTGGGGAGAGGGGAGGGGAGGGGGGGGGTAAGAGTGATGGTGCAGCGGTTAGCACACCGCACTCATAAAGTTGGCGAGCTTGACATTGATTCCCATCCACAGCTCACATCAGTGGCGCCGGGTATCTGAACCGGTCCCGAATCACGGGAACTCCCCAGGAAGAGCTGGAGTCCGTCGCTAGGGCAAGGTAGGTTCTGGACCGCCCTACTCGACATGATGATGCCGCCGCGTCCTTCGCCGGGACAAGCGGGCTGAGAAACGAATGAACAAACAATGCTCGATATAAAGATATGCCGTACTTGGCCCTTCCCCCCTCTTCAACCATTATATATGCGGAGTGGTGGCTCCTGTGATCTCTCATTTGCTTGATACGGCTGTCGTGGCTGTGACGGTTCCACCTGCAGACGGAGACTTGTGTTGCCTCCGAAACGTCGTGATTTTATTTTATTTTACTTTTATTAATTTTTTACCTACGTGACTTTACCGAAAAAACCTAAGAATATGAATCCTTGCAGTCACGAAAGCTTCAAATCCAGAATAAATATGCCCCCCCCCTACCCCCATATTGGCTTTAAACAGACAACTCTTTTTTTCTTCTTTGTTCTTTCGGTAAAGTCACGTAGAAGGGAAATAATAAAATAATAAAAATAAAACATGATAAAATACAATTCTCACGACGTTTCGGCCACAACGCAAGCAGCTGTCCTCAGGTTAAGAACAGGTCTGTCGGAAAGACAGCGTCTGAGGACGGCTGCTTGCGTTGTGGCCGAAACGTCGTGAGAATTTTATGTTATTATGTTTAATCTTTATTATTTTATTATTTCCCTTCTACGTGACTTACCGAAAGAACCAAGAAAATGAATCCCTGTAGTCACAAAAGCTTTAAATCGAAATTTAAAAGACAACTTTGTTTTTTTCGGTAAAATTATGGAGGTAAAAAATAAAATAAATGAAAACAACTCAATTAAATCACGACGTTTCGGGCGCAACACAAGCGTCCTTCTTCAGGTGGTGGATTTAATTTACTTGTTTTCATTTATTTGATTTGATTTTTCACCCACGTGACTTTACCGAAAAAACCAAAGAGTATGAATCCTTGCAGTCACGAAAGCTTCAAATCTAGAATTTAAACCGACTGTCGGAGCGGGCGGTGTTGGTCAGCTCCACGTTCCGCGACCTTCGGCTCCGCGGGGCTGATGTTTACACACCCAGAGCAAGGTGCTCGAGTGAGGCCAAGTCGACCTAGGGGGAGGGAGATCCAGAACCAGTTCGGATGTTCACCTCCGATGTTAACGCCGCGAGAGGGAATCGAACTCGGGGCCCAGCGGGTTCGGGAAAGCGCAGTGCAGTGCGTGAATCGCTGCGCCACCGTTCCCCGCTGGAGTACACAGTAAAAAAAAGACTCGTTGTTTTAATTTAAATTCAAGCTACCAAATTTGGTTACTACCATTTATAAAATACGTTACGGAAAATAGCGAGTTGTGTCCTTGCGGAGAATATAAATAACAGAATGACTAAGCAGGCAATGCCTCTTTCACGTGTTCATCTCTCCACGTCTCTTGACAAGTTTGAGTCATGCATTTATAATTTTGTGTGAAACTGGGTGTGACCCCCATATCGTGAGCCCTTGCCTGCCAAACGATCGCAAATTCACCAAACTGACTATGCTGATGAGACACTGTACGTCAAAACCGGTCCTGACACAAATTTAATTTATGCACTCCCAGAAAGCAATGCGGCAGCTGATGGGATGTGTCAGAATTTTTGGTTGTTTTACCAGGTAAGGCCCACTGAGCTATGAAGCTCATTTTCACAAGCGACCTGGCCACAAATGATAGCACAACGAAGTGGCTGACCATGTGGAAATTTATAGCAGCCAGATACTCTAAACGTGAGTTTCGAAGTGTGGCAGAAAAAAACCAAAGGACCCAGAGAAAAATCCACACGGCCAACGAGAGAACATTCAACCTCCAAATATACAGCAGCAGGCGTCAGGGTCGGGATCGAACCCACGACCTCCTGCACACCAGGCGAGGTAGTTAACATCTTCTAGCCACCGTGATGACGAGAGAGAGAGAGACACGCAAACTCCAAATATACAGCAGCAGGCATCAGGGTCGGGATCGAACCCACGACCTCCTGCACACCAGGCGAGGTAGTTAACATCTCGTCACCGTGGCGAGACGTTCACCTAGTCTCCTTTCATCGCATGAATATCTTATGCGAGGGAAGAAGATACACTGTCTGCCGACTTAAATCGTTAATTCTAAAATAGTTTGGTTGAGGAATACGTCGTAAAAATTAACCCGTAAAAACAAAGTTTTTCACTATAAATCCTTTATATGCGTGGCATCGGGGCGGCTAGAGTCTTCTCGTCCTCTGGCTTGAGATGGCTGCCACCTATGGGTCAGATGAGTGTCTGGCAGCATTAAACAATTGGTAATTAAATATTTAAAAAATTTCCCTAAACAGTGTAAAATTTTGGAAATTTTTTTTTCTCACGAAAATGCATTGTCACGCACAACGAGTCTGTGTGCAAAATGTCAGCTCGATTGGATCACGGGAAGTGGGTTAAAAAACGACCGAAAGATTTGCACGGTCCTAAGCAAGCAAGCAAGCACGTAAGCACGCAAGCAAGCAAGCAAGCGAACTTAATATAAAGAATTTAAAAAACAAGTAAACCCGTAAAAACAAAGTTTTTCACTCTAAATCCTTTATATGCGTGGCATCGGGGCGGCTAGAGTCTTCTCGTCCTCTG